CAGTACATTACAGTACATTACAGTACATTACAGTACATTACAGTACATTACAGTACATTACAGTACATTACAGTACATTACAGTACATTACAGTACATTACAGTACATTACAGTACATTACAGTACATTACAGTACAGTACAGTACATTACAGTGCAGTACATTACAGCATTTTACACCTCTAAAAGAGAAACTGCGCGCCGGAGAAACAGACAGCATGGACCTCGTCCGGTCGCCGATTGCGGTCGATCCCGTGGGAATCGTCGTTTGGTGCGTGCGGGGTCAAAGGCGACAGAGAGATTAAAAAAAAAAATCGGTTTCAAGCTTACGTTCAACGCGGCATGAGATTCCAAGCAATCTCGGGCGGAAAATTCCATAGAATTCTCGTAGTCTCATGATCCCACGGGAATCTGTGGTTTCCAAAAATTTCCCATTAGGGATTTCACAGGATCTCTATATATTTCCAGGAAATTTGAAAGGATTTCACGATATCCATTTAGAACGGGAATCCTAAGGAGGCCGATTGCCGGCTATTTTGTTATATCTTTTATCCCACGGGATTATTCAGACTCGAAAATTCCATTCAACTTCGGAACGGAAAACCATTTCCTGCGCCCCGGAAGGGAAGAGATAGGACGATCCAAGCGCAAAATCCGCGCGTGGAAAGCCCCGAAGTTTCCTCCGTCGCTCTTTCGTCAGTCATAATCAAAGTTCGAAAATCCAAAAGGCGCTCATCTGCGAATGGCATTCGCCAGCCCGTTTCTAATTCAATTTTACTGGATGGAAAATGCATCCGTGGAGAGGCTAACAGACATGAATGACTCATCCTCAGGGTGAAAAGAATGTTGAATGAAAAGAATGTTGAAAGAATGTCGAGCGGACGCATCCGAGCGGACGCATCCGAGCGGACGCATCCGAGCGGACGCGGCCGAGCGGACGCGGCCGATGGAGGCGCCAGTTTCCTTCGAGGATTCCAGTCGATGAAGCCACTTTTCCCGGCGTTGATGCTGGAATTTTCCTCTTCCAGGTTTTTTGAGTTTTCGCGTCTACAAGTCTTGTTTCCTTGCTTTCGGGAGCCGTGATGCGACGCGCGACTCTGTTTTGCATCGAATGGGCCATGACGCCCATAAATGCCCAAAAAGTAGTGAAGCATCTAAATAATTATTTAGGAAAAAATTGTTTACACGAACGTACCCCAAGCCAATGTACAGTTTCTTTGCGTGTGTCCGTGTGAGGGAGAGAGAACTATGCTTGGGAGAATTTTCTCTGCGGAATCCGCTGTTCTCCGCTTTGAGAGAATTCATTTTTTAAATCTCATGCGTAAATTTGCCAAGGGTTTAAAATTGCCTCCAAAGAAAATTATTTAAAACTCGTTAGTGACCCGTGAGTTGTGGCAAAAATGAGAACAAGTTTCGCGTTCGGGCAGCGATTGCGTCGGGAGTCTCGCCTAACGTTCGGAATGAAAAATCCCGGCAAGGAAAATCCGCCTACCGGCCCTGTCATAGATGCGTTCCGTATACGTGTCGCTCGCCAATTCCTGTCTCATGCACCACATGTAGGTCTCGGGTCTGCACACGGAGAGAGTCACGTTCTGCAGCTCTACGAGGAAAAAAGAAATGCAGTCACCCCTCGACATTTACCCCGGATTCGGATCTGAAATATCGCAAAAACAAAGGAAACCTGCGGACGAAAGGGTATCGGCAGGGAAGCACTTGCACGACGAGTTGATGGTCGCTTCCCGGAAGATCCTCTCCACGCAGTTCCAGGAATAGGGAAAATGGTCCACGAGGTCGTGAACGGATTTGGTCGGAGCCGTCGTCACGTCCACGTCGCCGCACGAGTTCGACCTCACCGGGTAGACGTTCATCCCCGAATGTTCCACCTGGTGGGTCGGGTGCCCCAAGGGAGAACGGAAATTCTGGAGAGATTTTCTCCGGAGATTCTCATCAGGACGAGAGCTACGACGATCGGTCCTATCTCTCCTCGAGAAAACGATGCCGAGGTTGTTTCGTGGAATGCACTAGATAAGCAGCTCTTTCTCGGAAGCAAGTTATATTCCTTTCCGACAAGAAAAAACCCTGTGCAGCGGAGGCAAGAAAAGAAGGGGTTCGCACGCATTCCCTATTACCCCATCTCATCCCCCTTTCTTGCTTTCTTGCGAATCCATTCCAGGAATTCCTTTCTGAGCTTTCTGCTCCGATCGGTCCCGGTCAAGAAGGCAAGGAGAATGACGCGAGAGCTTCGATGGCCGCGCGCATCTCCGCCTCGAAATGCGCTCGGGATTTCGAGTCGATTTTCCCAGGGATACCCAAACGCTTATTTTTTTTTTGAATGGTATACCAATTTGCCGACCTAATTCGGGATTCGCTTGAGACTGAGTCCTCCGTTCTCGCGAAAAACACCTGACGATTGGGACGACCAAACCCGTCGAGAATCCGCAAGCGGCGGACGACTCACCCTGACGGCTTGGAGACCGAGAAGAGTCTTCCTGCTCGGATTGATGGAATGCGCCCTCATCTTGGCGGCGAGAGACGGGGACTCGTAGTTGGCCGTCAGGATGACCTTGTATCCGTCTGCTTGGGCCACATCTGACAGGACGCTCCTGTTTAGCCCTGTCAAAGGCAGAAGAGAGTTTCTGTTCGCTAAGTTTTCCGACGCACATTTTTTTGCCTTATCGATGGATAATGATAGATGAAGGCGACATTTATCGAAGATGGTTCAAGGTTTCTGGCACCCCAAATCTGATCTGACTGCGCGACCCGGGTTTCATAGGCCAAGGAAGACGCAGTCACGGACGGAATATTTTTTCTCATTTCATCGTGATATCTTTGCCACTCATCAGACGAGCAGAGGTTTATAAGCTTTCCTGTTCTCTTGAGCGCCGTTAGACATGCCAGGCAAGAGTTTTGGTGGGCCACGAGAGAATCTGATAACATCTATACACATCGCGACGGTGAATCAAGTTTATCGCTAAACATCGCAGCAGATAACACTACCAAGGAAGCCTTACCACCCGTTTTTCGTACATCGGACTTCTGCGTCGAAGCAAATGCACCAGAACTCGAACGTACAGGAAGAGCTGAAGACCCGGAGCATGACGCTGAGTCCCATGGAAGAGCCGGGATAGTTCTGAATGCGGCTGAATCCGTGGGTGGAGATGCAGGGGCCCATCGAGGTCAGCGGTCGAGATTGGAAGATCTCCGCGCAGCACTGCTCCGCTTCAAGGATCCGCGAATCCCCTCCCAGCTCGCACGATATCACCATGTCCTCACACCTGGGCGACACGATCCTTTCGACTGACGATACGCACCGAGAAAAACTTCCTCTCCATCCCAGACTCCATCCAATCTCGTTTGAAAAGCGCCATTGAACCCGATGACAGCTGCATGCACCTCCGGTGGAACCACCGGCATCCAGGCACTTTACCTGAGCGACGCTGCAGCGAGCAAGTGCGGTATCGTGGTCTGGTTGTGTTCGAGGATGTCGTTGAGTTCCGCTTTCAGCCGATCCCGGCGAACTTCGTCGGTTCGGATTTTTTGGGACAGGGAGTCGCCTCGGTTCAGAGCGCCCATCGAGTAGGCCAGGATCTCTTGCGACACTCCCAAAGCTTTAACATCGAAAGAGGAAGAAATAGAACATACGTAATGATGGTCCTGACTAACGTGCAAATTTGAATCGACGCATGGCGTTTCGCTATTTGTTTATTTATTTTTCTCGAGAGTTAATTTCTACACCACCTTCGAACTCTTCATACGTTAGTATCATGAGTATATAACTTACGGTGGAGGTAGAGTACCCTCGAGGTTCATCTTGCCACTTATACTACATCTAGCATCTTGTCACTTATACTTGAGTAAATGTCAACTCTCAGACGAAAAACAAAAATGAGAACATTGTGGGGTCACATTCCCCGAAGCAACGGTTTCAATCGGCATTTTCAAAAACGCTAAGAGACTAAACCCTGTCCACTTCGAGCATGGGGAGATTTTCGATGGGAGATTTCCAGGACTTTGGAGGCTTCAGTTTCGCCCGCTGACCACGTTACCGACAACGAACTCAAGTCTCAAGACACGGCCATTGCATATTTCTTTTAGAAGCGTTTTAATTAAAATAATTTAAGAATCCTCCATGACCTTTGAACAGTCACCGAGGGAAAATTTCTTCTCTCCTTGGGGTGTGAAAAATCTACATTTTTTAAAAGCAGATTTGAGAACGAGCATAATTTTCCCCATCGACCCGCCGCAACTGCGCAAGGTCTGCTGCGGCGAAGTTATTGCTTGGATCGAGGGATTTGTTTCGTGACGTCTTAGAGCGGTTGTGATCAATCCGCACATGCGGATTCATCTCTGTGTAATGCTGAGGATGCGTGGTAAGGCAGGTGATTGACCTCCTTCTAGGAGGTCAATTTCCTGACGAATTTCCGCTTGCCTGTCCTATTGAATCATTCCTTTCATTTGCTCGATATTCTCACCAGATGAAGTCTCGGTCGACCCAGTCCTTGTTTCTCGTGATGCTCGTTCGCCTGGTATCAAATGCTTTACGACACACCCATACTTGTTTTCGAGACGTGGCATTTTCTCCATGATTTCCTACAAGTCGGCGATGAACTTCTGCGGGTATAGTGCCTCTTACATGGAGTAAAGGTACTTCAACGGTACTTCAACGGTTGACCTCGTTTCTAGGAGGGCCGCCACATGAACTGGCTTGTCACGTATGCGCAATATTACACAGCGATCAATCCGATATTACACAGCGATAGAACCCTCACCACTGCTGTACTACACTACGAAACAAGTACCTCGACACAAGCAATAACTTTGCCGCAGCAGACCTTGTTACTTTATTTATTGAAAATCCCTCGTTCACAGTGAAAGGAAGTACATAGATCGAAACGTGTGCTCTTTCTTTTGGCGACCTACAGATCTGTTCTGCGAAATCCCATTGGCTTCGGATTGAATTCCTTCCTACCTCTCCCCCCAGAGGGGGGTGGGGCTGGGGAAACTGAGAACAGGTATAATATGGAGAATGAGGTCGAAACGCATCACATGCGCTCAGAAAAAAATTGGTGCGTTTTGGTCGTGAAAAAATCTGCCTTCCATGTGATGCGTTTTTATCGCGTCGAAAATTTGATGCGATAAAAACGCATCACACGGATAAAATATTTTTTCGCCACAAAAATGCATCAATTCGATGCACTGACTATTCTGCAAGTAGTCTGGGCAATCGATCACTTTGAAGCAAAACTCCCAGACCTTGAGCAGCATCTTCCCGCAGAGGATTCGTCGGGCAGATGGTGATGTCCGGCAGGAGCCTCCTCTTCAACAGAGCGCCATCCATGTCCATCGAGACCGTATGCTTCCCGTTGATCAGGTTCGTGAAGGGCGAGTAGCACAGGTATAGGGCCCACGAGATGACGCTGCACTCGACCACCACCCAGATGAGCCATTTTACGATTCCCAGGTTCTTCCTGTTCCTCAGGAAGTACAGACCGTGCATGTCGTGCCAGTCGCAGAATGTCTCCAGCGCCTTGTCGAAGACGTCGATCGCCTTCGGTTTCTTCAGGGGATGCACCAACATCGGACTTGGAGGAGAACAATTGAAAAAAAATTATGTAGGTCGAAATGCTCGAGAATGGCATTCCGTGCAAAACTGTCTTTTTCATCGCAGCCTGCAAACATTTTTGAGAACGGAAGCGAAGACAATTCCCTTTTCCTAACATTTATGAAACGGTTAATTTTGTTCCATGATCACTCCCTGATCACTCCGTCCTCGTCAGTAGGACGAAGCCCCGACTCGAGCGTCGTCGAGGATCCGCCTCGAGCGTCGTCGAGGATCCTTCCAGTTGCCTCCGGAGGACTTGCGTCGACGCGAACTTGGAACTTTGGGTGCTCGAGAATCGTTCCCGGTTTCGCGATCGGGTTTTCGCTCGAAGGTGGCTTCAACTTCGCTCTTCGACGGGCTCCTTCGTCGAAGGGGCTGTCGTGACTCCCATCGAATGAGATTGGAACTGTTCAAGTGTCTGGCTCCTTCTTCGAAGCGGTTATTTATTTCGACAGCCCAGACCAGTCCTCTATTTTTTGTTTCTGTTCTGTAGCTCAGCCGTGTGGCAAGCTTCTTTGGATTAACCATTATTTAGATTAACCTCGTCGATCTGAAGGTATACCGCTCTGGTTTTTCGTAATCTCCAGTCGATTCCAGTCCTCTGAGAACTAGATGAAGGTGCTGAAGACCCTTCTCTTCCTGAATCCCGTTCTAAAATCCCGCACGAACGGATTCTCAGGTGCTTGCGACTGCCCCGCCGACAGGCTCCATCTCGCCCCGCCGACAGGCTCCATCTCGTCCCGCCGACAGGCTCCCGGATCCCGTCACGACCAACCAGGCAGCCGGGCTTGGGCTCCCTTCGCTCGGAACTCGAAAGAGAACTTTCTCGCTGAGGGCGAGGACGCGAGGGAGATTACCGCGATCGTTTCGCTGTGGATTTTTTTTCGCTGAAGGAAATCGCGCTATTTTCGAATCCCAGAAGAAAAGGAGGTTGTCGTGATTTTGAAAACTTCTTTGAAGACAAGGAGATCCACGTCTTCGTCGGCTGGGACGACGCCCGTCGGCAGGGACGACCCGGCACTCATATTCAATATTTTTCAGTCTAACCCCGTCGGCTATCGCGATCAGTTGATGCGTCCCGCGAAGGATTTCGCCGGGGTTTCGCTCCTTCCCCCGGTCGGAAATTTTGCGACGAGCGCGTTTTCCACGCTGGCGGCCGTCTTTTCGCTGCCGCTGCGCTTCGGTCGTCGAGTCGCGCGTGCCAACATAATGCCAATGTCTTATCGGTCTGGGTCAAGCATAACCTGACCATAAAAAAAGAAATTCCCGAGGAAGAAATTTTTCCGGCATGAAGCTAGTAAACCTCAGCCATTTTTTTTTTTGCGGTGTGAAACGAAAAAAAAAACTCGAAACAATTTCCCGTTTTTGCCAACGCTCCAATTTCCTTCGCTCCGATTTCCACCGCGGTCGCGGCGATTAAAACCCCTCGATTTTCGCTTCTTCTGTTCAATGCGCCAGGGAGAAAAAATTAAATTCTTCTCCTTCCCTAAAAAAAAGGGGGGGATGGCCCTCGACTGCGTTCTGGCGTCAAATGTGACTTTAAAAAAAAATATATTTTTTAAATGCCTCCGTACCAGCCGAGATCGGTGACCACGGAATAAAATGAACCGTTTCATAACCGCTATTTAAAAAAAACGTCACCGAAGAAGGAAGAAAACGAGAGACGAAAGGGAAGGAAGCGGAAACGGCCCGCGGGTCAGCCCCCTAGAGAGAAGGGGATTATCCCTCTGGATGGATGTGAGAACAGGTACGGGGAATTGACCGCCGGGGAATTGACCGCCGGGGAATTGACCGCCGGGGAATTGACCGCCGGGGAATTGACCGCCGGGGAATTGACTGTACATCGTTCTTCTCATCTTCTCATGAACTCCTCGCAAGATTTATTCGTTATGCCCCCTTGACGCGTTCGAGGGTAAGATTCCATCTAATTTTTCCTGGAGGGTTGCTATTGAAGATATTTTGTCGCGGAAAAGTCCGAATTGCGTGGTTTCCTCGTGGTTTGTGGATCGACTCCGTGGGGGTATGGGTCGTGGGATGGGCAGCGTTCCTTGCCGCAGGTCGCCGTTTCCTCATTTTTTTTTTACGGACTTTTAAAAATCTTAATTTGAATTTAAATTTAAATTTCATCTGTTTCCTGTAAGCAGATGGCAGAAGGAAGCGGTTGGCGTGGAGAAAACAACCTAGGGAATTCTTCTCTGGTTTCAAGCCGGAGAAAATGCAGCGAGTCGACGGTACGGAATCCCGCACGCGCGGAATATTTTTCTTCGCGATTTCCCGGATGGCGGTTGCAGGACGTTGGGTTCGGAGCGAAAAAGGCGGCATCGTCAGCGTCACGGAGCCGCCTTCGGCCCCGAGTGCACGGCACGACGAAAGACCACGAAATTGGCAGCCTTGGTCGAGAATTGCGAATCCGCATGAAAGCATTTTTTTAAATTTGGCACTCCCACCTTTTGCAAAGGAGTTTTCACAACCTCCCCCCTCATCCCCTCACCCCTCCCCCCTCATCCCCTCACCCCTCCCCCGTCGTCCCCTCACCCCTCACCCCGCATCCTGCTCCGTTCCATGGAATGTGCATGCTCTAGAGAATGCGAGGATTCCCATTCTGCAAACTTGGACAAACCTAAATTCAGATAAATTAATTAAATTAATAGTTTTCTTTCTACGGGGGAGGGGCATTCAAACATCCCGCATTTTTTCACTTTTTAAGAGCGGCAAAAATTTTCGCCGATCCCAGACGCTATGAAATTCGCGCTGCTCCGCCCGACATCCCTCGCGAATCGCTTCGCACGTGCCGCGAAAGATCCCGCGAGAGTTCCGACGGGGGGACCTACTCCCTCGGGGCCTCGGGGATGGGTTCGATGGTCCAGGGGATCCCCGGCTGCTGCATCCACGACTTCCTCCGCAGCATCCTCGGCTCCATCTTCACTCCGCTGGCACTAGGAACTGAGGGCGACTGGCACTAGGAACTGAGGGCGACTGGCACTAGGAACTGAGGGCGACTAGCACTAGGAACTGAGGGCGACTGGCACTAGGAACTGAGGGCGACTGGCACTAGGGACTGAGGGCGATTGGCACTAGGAACTGAGGGCAACTGGTCGCGGGTGACAAGGGATCGCGAGAAACGATCGCGGTGCGACCTTTTCCTTCTGATGCGTATCGCGTCGTCACGGTCGATTTGCGAAACGGAAAGGACGATGGAGATGAAGGAGATCGGCGTTTCTCGGTCCCTTTCGATGCCTATCGGTGGGCTGCAATGGTATTCCGATCGCGGCGATTCGCGGTGTATCGGGGCGGCGGTGTTCGGAATCGCCCGATGGCATCTTCCGCGGAAACGGCCCTCGCGTCAGCTTCCCTTGGGGGCTCGAGGTCACGTGATGGGTGGGCGGGGTCACGTGATGGTGGGGTCACGTGACGTCGTTTCCTGATTCGATCTTCATCTGATCGATTTCGGTTTTCATTCCGCAAGTATTTTTCTTTATTCTCTCGCAGCTCGACTGAGAAATTTTGGTCGATAACGGCAGACATCGAATCCGCGACACGCCGACACCTCTTCTTTTTTTTTTTAAACTCCGACACCTCTTCTTTCTCCTCTTCTTATTCCTCCTCCATCCTCTGGCGATCCGCGAGAAGACACCACGATGGCGCCCCCAAGACCCTTTTCGCGATTTCGATCGGGACGGGTTCCCATCGATCGTTCGCGCCGTATCGGCGTTCCTACGGTTCGAAAATTTCCAGGTAATCCGTTTTGCATTTTCCTCGTTCCCGTCTCATGCGCCGAGGAAACTCACCTAGTTTAACCCTTTCGCGGTCATGCATTTGGCATTTTGAGGCGTACCGTACGCTGAAAAAGTCAATGCAAGCTGTCTTGTTTATTTATTTATTTATTCTCTACTTTCTTTTTTTTTCTGCTATCCAGCTTCAGCTTTTCACATCGCCCATCCAAAGCTGGGAATTTATTTAATTATTTAATATCATGCTGTAAAAACCCGACCCGGTCCTAAATAAAAACCTAAATAAAATAAGACCGGTTCCGGTCTTAAATAAATAAAAAATCCGACCTCGAAAGGGTCGAAAGAGGGAATCGGCTCGAAGAAAAGGGAAGCCCGCCGGATCCGATTTCTTGGAATGGCGTAAGGTAATGGTAATGGTAATGGTAAGCTGGTGAGCATGAGGATCGAGTCGGATAGGTGTGCTTTTCCGTGATGGAAATGGAGATTCAACTTAAGAAGGCTGGGAACCTGAAGATCATGAGTTCCAAGATTCCTCATGACTCGAATCAATTGCAGATTCGGGCTGGAGATTCCATTCCAGATTCGTCTAACGTTTGTGTAATTTCTCTTCTATGGTGATAGGGGGTAAGCGGTAGAGGGTAAGCGGTAGAGGGTAAGCGGTAGAGGGTAAGCGGTAGAGGGTAAGTACTGCTCCGTGTCATGCTATCACAAACAACTTCAGTGATGCTTTTTGCGAAAAATTCAGCTTTTTCCGCAGGGATTCCCAACTCGACGGCTCACGTTCGCTCTCACGCACGAACTTCATACTCGACGTTTTTGAAGGTCGCCGAGTGCACCGGGTTTCGTGACTGGCGTTCAAGTACTTTCTGGTACCGGCATGGCGGACTCGTCTTGGGACTTTTGGTGGTTTCCCTCGCCGAGCTCGAACGAAAAGGCGGCGATTAGTGCTTCCTTTGAAACCTTTGGACCGAGACAGAAAAAAAAAATCGTTTTAGTTCCATCGTGAATTGCAGAGATAAAAAAAATTATACGTTAAGAATGAGCGGGTCGGGGCCTGATGCATTATTTTCAGCGCTTGTTCGTCTGGCCCGGATCGCCATTGTCGAGTGTCGAGTTGTCGACACTGTCGACTCCATCACGATTCGACCGGTTGGGCTCAGACGAGATGCGAGGGAGAGAAACACGCTCGAGCCGCGACATAGGAAACCATCAGAAAGCCGACAGTTCCCTCCTCGAATCAACGGCAAATGCGGACGCTGGGGCGGGGCACTTCCCCCCGAAAGTGACAAAAAGAGCGGTGCATCCCCGAGGACCATTCTATTCTCGATCAAAAAGCCAAATGGAAATTTTCTTTGAAAGTCCGTCTGCGAGAGAACAAATTATATCCCTCCGCCAATCCTTACACCAATATATTTAAGATGCGATAAATTTATTTATATATAAATGAATCAGTAAATAATAGCTGTCATTCGTGCGTCGTAGGTCTACAGTACTTTGAAAACTCGACAACGTCCTTGATGGTTCGAATCGCATGGAAATGGAATGCGTGATGGCACATTTCACGAGCCTCACTGTCTCTCTCTGGGCCGATTGCATGAACGATGTTTTCCCAGTGTTTTTCGAAAGTCATCGGTTAACCGATGTCTAAGTCACGCAATCGAAAGTAGACAGCGGTTAACCGATGTTTTCGTAGACAATGACCATCGATAATCAATGCCTAAAATAAACATCGTTCATGCAATCAGCCCTTTGTCTTTATTGGGTCTGTCAGCCCCAAGGGCAGGAGGGGAACTGGCGGTCTCAGTGACTGCTTCCCAACTCAGGGAAAAGCCTGCGCATGCGCACTCAATCGAGTCTGCGCATGCGCACTGAGTAGTCAGCGACTGCGGAAAGACGGAATGAAAAAATCAAGAAAATGTGATAGACTGACCGCGACATCTGCGACATCCCGGTAGCAGACGAAAGGCAATCGCACCGCCTGCCCCCAGGGCGATTTGGATAAGGACGAAGTTTCAAGAGGGACCCATTACAACCGGGAGAGGCCCCGTTCTTGAAGTCCTCCCACGCGATTGCACGCCGCGTGCTGGTGTTGCGAATTGAAGACAGGGATGAGGTTCGCGGCAAGCAATCCCCCGTCAATTTTCGCCATTTCCTTGCCTATTCTGTGCTGGGATTGAGGAAGGATGGAGCAGAAGTGCCAAGGTTGAATATGTATTTTTCACGAGGGGAAAGTTTTGTGCTATAAAGTAAATTCGATCGAGCTTCATGGAATCGCAGTCGAAGGGCTTGTATGACGCAAGAGGCGGATTGAAGAATTCGATTAAATACGAGTGACGAGCGCGAACCCACGAGAACATCCAATAACACCTAGAAGGAGCTTCAAGACCGATATTTTCACGGGTAGCTGCAAAAGGCTTGCAGTTTCTTTATTCTACCAATACTCACGACACCTACAGCCTGAAAGCCCGTGCACCGAGTGTGAAAAAGAAGCAAATCTGAGTGGTCAGTCCTCTCGAGCTTCTCAGGATAGAAAAGAGCAATGGATCCTTTGGATGATGCGTCCAGCGACGCCAGGACGAGATTTCTGGCTTCCGTATCCGCTTATTCCTTCTACAGCACAAGACGACGGTACAGCCAAACGTTGAAGGTGATGAACTCGATGACGGTCATGAAGCTGCCTCCGAAGATGAGACTGAGAATGCCTCCCGTGCTACCTAAAATGCAGAGCGCGTTCGTATTATGAGGTGAGATGCCATTGAGCTCATCCCCTCTCGGTCTACTCACTGATGAGGTCGATGATGGCATAAGCCGAGTAGGAGATGACGCGTTCTGACAGCATGTTGTAGTGAACCCCGAACATCGCCACATCCCCACTGCATGAGATAAAACTGTCTTCATTTCACAGCAGACGGCTTGATAGCCCATGAACGCATCACTCACATTTGAGTGAGATTTCTTTTTAGATGCTTAATCACGCTTTCTGCGTAGGCCGGATTCAAGTGGTCGTAGGTGACAAGTGCTTCGTAGGAGCTTTCTGTGCAAAGAGGCTTGCATTCCTTCTCTGTAAAGGATAAAACGAAGGCTGGTTAAGTACACAAGAAAGAGCACATAGCACAATGACCTCAAAGCTGAAGGTTTCGCATAAACCCGACTCAAGGATCTCAAGATCAAAAGAATTCTGCACGTTATTCTGAAACTACGTTCACGCCCAATTGATTTTCAAATTGAACCCATGAGAAGAATTTGCCCTTTCACGAAAATTTGGATTTCAGCGAAATATGACGCATTAGAGGTATGCAATTGAAGAAAATAAAAAAGATCCAAACAAACAATGTGGTAGGTAAGCACAACCCTACCCCTTACCGAGACAAGAGCTATATGAAAAAAGATAAAATAAATAAAAATAACAAAAGGACAAGAGGACAAAAGGAAGAACATCAAAGTGGAACATCAAGTCTTCCTCCAATTCCCTAAAGTAGGTTTGAAGACCGCATGACGACTGCCTCGCATTTCGGGAATAAAGGACTCCAGCGCCGCAAATGGAACTGGAGCCAACGGAATGGAAGGGCGGAGGCATCGGAGACGCGTGGGAGTTGGTGGAATTTGGGGAAGGGCGATGCGAGAGTGGGAAATGCGAGGATGTGGTCTTTCCGGGCGTCGCCAAGTGTGTGGCGGGGGGGACGCTCGATGCTGAATGCTCTCTGGGCACATTCGGGCGGTCGAGCGTTTGTTTGCCTCCTTCGATGGGAGCCGCTGCGGTCAGTGGAATCGACGGAAGTCCTGGGGAGAAGCTGGTTTTCGAATTCGAACTTTGAACAAGGCTTCGTGGAGAAAGTATTGTGGTATTTATGATTCCGTAGGATTGCATCATGCGGAATCTGTCATTCCGAAAGGTTTCTGTAAATGCTGAACTTCTTTTTACTATTACTCATTTTGCTTTTGCAAAATTTATTTTGGAATTCAGCGTTCGACCAAAGTCCCAAAACAGTTCCTATTCAAACTACCAGTGTGCGTTCAGCGCTAACGGCGCTCAAGCAGGGGTTGCTTCTAGTCTCACCCTCCCTTTCGAAGGCAGTCTAGGATGGAAATGGTGGGATTTGTCGCAGAGTGAGGATTTCAGGTCCCGCGTCCTGGGTTGACTCTAGGCTTGCAGGATCAGGACACCTTGTCGAATGCATTGCATTGGATCACTCTGAGGATTCCCAACGTTCCCGTCTGGTATGTCCTCCGTCGAAGAAGGCCCTTGGAAAGCGAGCGACGCTGGCCTCCACTCATGGGTCTATTGCTCAATGCTCCAAGAAGCCCATGCTTTCCCTGTTAGTGTGCCTGAGGCGAATCGGCGCAAAATGTAGCCGGCTCAAACGGGAAAGTGCGCGCTGTTGTGGACAGCATGCGTAACAGAGGAATGCCGATGAAATTCATCTTGAATAGAGTCTAAAGCTGTCTCGCTTCCCTTGAAACCAGCAGATGAGCCGACTCGGCGGAGAGGCAACTCATACGCGCTTTCGTGCAAGCCGACAGCCGACAGTCGACAGCCATCGAGTACGTTAGAGCGCCTGTCTTGGTTGCAACCTGGTCGCAAATGAAGGTCGAAACGCGTCCATCGTCCTCCGCGATCTCCCCTCTTGAAGCGGCTGTTGACGCATTTTGGTTTATCGCAAGCCCTTCATGCGATCTGGCAAGGTCAGCCAGCGGCAAGTGCCTGACCTTGATCGAAACTCGACTTTGCTGCGTTTTCCCCCTTGGAAATCAGATATAATCGACCCAAGTACCGACGCACCAATTTTTCTGTGCGCAATTATGGACGATTGATCGGCACGAAGCAGCCTTCCAATTCTTCTCGGGAGGAGCAAATTTTCAATTGACTTCCCATCGAGGATTATCGTCTCAGTGGGCCATCGCAGAATCCCGATCATCAGACTCGAATATTTCATCTTATTACGACATTCCGATGTAAAATTTTTTACGGAAGGGACGAAACAGGAAAGAAAGGACGAGCGCAGAGGGCATCTCTTCTCCAAATGCGTTTCTTCCTGTAACCTTCGAAGAGTGACAGGCGCGTTCACCCGTTTGAGTTAAACAGATCCGATCTCACGTGGTTCCCCATGGAAATCGGTTTGACGGATGTAATCTTATTCCCAAGGAAGTCCATTGTCAGAAATTATCAGATCGAACGGATCTGGTGCGTTTCACCCAGAAAGTCGTTTTTTTTTTAAAAACAAATGTTGGAAAAATTTCAATCCAAGCAATGAACGGGTGAGAAGTCACATTTAGATCTCGAAGAAAAAGGATTCGATCCCAGCTCACCAGCCCTTTCATAGATGAGGTCAGCATACGTGTCACTCGCCACTTCCTGTCTCATGCACCACATGTACGTCTCGGGTCTGCACACGGGTAGGTCGATGTTCTGCAGCTCTACGCGGAAGAGAGAGAGAGAAAAAAAAATTCGGTTACCCTTCGACATTCGTCCGAGATTCGGCTCTGAAATGCCCCAAAAATCGGGGAAACCTTCGGACGAAAGGGTGTCGGCAGGGTAGCACTTGCACGACGAGTTGATAGTTGCCTCCCGGAAGATCCTTTCGACACAGTTCCAGGAATAGGGATAGTGGTCCACGAGGTCGTGAACGGATTTGGACGGAGCCGTCGTCAGGTCCACGTCGCCGCACGAGTCCGACCTCACCAGGTACACGTTCATTCCCGAATGTTCCACCTGTTGGGTCGGGTGCCCCGCGAGAGAAGAACGGATATATATATATATATAGATAGATAGAGTAAGAGAAGTTATGTGGTGCCGAAATTGTTTGAAACTACCCAAGTGCAACAGAAAATGCCCAACCTTTGCCCAACTGCCTATTTAGCCAATATCTTTCTTTAATATTAGGTCTTAGTCGG